AGGGGGAGGACGAGCCGGGACCCCGGCCCGGGCCCGCACGGGGCGCAGCATCGCTCCTCCGGCGGGAGGGCGTCTCTCCCCGCCCGCGGGCCAGCACCACTTTCTCTCGGCACGGTAGCCCCTCCCTCTTAGGGGAGAGCACCCCCTCTTCTTGCGGGGCAGCACCCCTCCCCTCCTGCCTCGGAGGGGGCAGGACCCCTCCCCCTCTTGCAGGGTGACCTTTCTGCCCCTCGCGGGGGGCGCAGGGCGGCAGCAGACACCCAAACCCCACGGCGAACACCCAAGGGCAAGCTCTTCCCAAGGACCGAGCTGTGGGTTTCCGTCTGGCTCACGATGGCAGCAAGATGCGCTCAGAGAGTGGATTCGCGGCCCGGAGGAGGGGGCCGCTGGCAATGGGGGACCCGGCCTTAGCCTGGCTGTGGGGGAAGGAAGGGGGTCTCGCTCTTCTTTTCGCTCAGCAGCTGGTTTTCTTGTCCCACCTGAAACCTTGGCAGCTTTAAGCACACACTTTGGGTTGCTGGGGGAGCTGCACCTTCAGAGGTGGGGGTAAGGACAGACAGTTCTTGGGTTTAAACTAAGGCGTGCACAAAATGCCAGAAAATGCCTCTCTCATAGGAGCCTTTTTTTCTCCAAAGCAGCTGAGGTACTTTAAAAAAAACCCCCACATCTCCAGCTGTTATGATTGATGGGAGGGCCTCCCGAAAAAGGGCTACCCAGTGCAGCTGATGAACTACACGGCACTACAGTTCGAGATGCCTGAATGTCCCCATTCATCTCCACGGGGAGCTGACTGACGCCCACAAACATTTTAAGGACTTTAACTGCTTCACAGCACGTTTGCACACAAGAAACCAGGGGAAGCAGCACACTTTGAACCTGCAAGTGGCTTCCAGCGTAGGCCAGCCTTAGAAAAATACACATGGAATAGGTTCGTTGGGCTGAAATGTCAGCCAGTAGGGCAGAAATGTGGATCAAGCAAAGAACTGCCTTTTCAAAAGCTCCCCTAAGATGTGTTTGCTCGCATTCACTCAGGATAACAATTGCTTGGAAACAGCTTCTCTCCCCAGGCTGCGGGGGTTCTAACCACCATCAGCTTCTGCTCCGGAGCCAACCAGGGCCCCCCGGCACCAGGAGATTGTCCCCGGCTGCAGTGGGAGCAGGAGGGAGGGAAGGGGCCGGTGGGAACAGGAATGGCTGATGTGAGGAGGGTGAACGTGCCCGCTGCCTCTGGGAGGGCGTGACGGAGGCAGGTGCTCAGCGATCCCAGTGCCTGGAATTCAGTTATTCCTGTGCTCCAGGGGAGAGGGTCGCACCCAAGGCTACGGTGCAAGGGAAATAAGTAACAGTGTCTGTGGCAAGCAAAGGGTCTGGTCAGGAGATGAATAACCTTGAAAGAAGATCCCAGCCCAGCTGTAGGCTCTGGTTTTCTTTCTGGGCCCACAGAGAGGTGCAGCCAGGCAGCCAAGTGACACTCTGCCCTTTCTCTTTTGTCCCTGTCACTAGTCAAAAACCCAATCTGCATGATTTTGTCCATGACGTGATGCAGGACTCTCATTACAGCACAGCTGGGAAACGGATGGCCGTAACACCAGCTAAGGGCTCTGGGCCCACAAATAGCTCACGGAGAACAAATTTGTACGTAATTAGTTTTTTCTCTAGGCAACAGGAAGACAACCTTCCAGTATTTAGTTAGAAGAAATTAAGAGTCCTTCGGGTCCTGTTTTGATAGGGCAAGAACAAGCTGGCATACGTAGTTGCGAAGGAGAGAGTTGAGAAAAACCAACCTTATATATCAGCCCTTCAAGACTTAGAGCTGGGACACTGGAGAACTCACAACCCAACAAGTTGAAAGTGCAGATAGAAAAGCATTCCCCACTACCCTCTAGAGATGCTGGGGTCTAGTGTTTGGCCCTTATGCTTTGTTGCCACCAGTCCCACCGTGCGCAGCAAACCCCTAACAGTTGCCCGAGCCGCTGCTTTGCCTCACTGCGGGAGGTGGACCAGCAACCTCTTGAACTGTCTCTCTCAAGCACATGTCTATGATCTCATGCTAAACTAAAAGGAGGCTAATCTTAGCATAAATTTGCACTTATCCCATCTTTCATAAGCAGAAAATGAAGGTGGAACACAGAGCACTCGCAGGAAAGCAGTGTAGCAGGGAAGATTAAATGTAGGAACTGACAGCAGAGTTGGCAGCGTCAGCTCTGGCAACCTGCTTCAAGGGAAGGCTTACCCGAGGTGCTGTGGGTGAAGAGACGCTTCCAGGCAGTCACGGGCTCTGGGGCAGCCACGGGGGAACAGCCCTTCCGAACCCCCCCCAAGCGGCCTCCATGTGCGCCGGCAAACCCAGCTGCCAGTAACTCCTCAGCTGAGCACCATCAAAAGGAGAATTTTAGGAGGCTGTGAACACATCTCAAATGCTCTTATGACAATTTAAGCAGTTCTGTCTGCTTCTGTGACAACCAGGTAATTTTTATATAATTATTCTCCCCTCCCGAATAACTAGAGAGATACAGATCTCTCTCTCCCCATACATACATATATATAAAGAGTATCTGTGTACTACAGATGCACTCTTACATTGCTGCACACCTACATCCTGATTCTCCCAGTTCTCACCAAAATCGGAATGTTTTTAGATTCAGTTCTGATGCAAGCAGATGGGCCTTGCAAGTCTTAATTCAGATCTTTTGCTGTCAACTGCAAGTATCCCAAATTCACAGAATAATTCAGGTAGTTTATTTCCTATCGATGACACACATCATCTAGGAAAGGAAACATGATTAAACACACACACAGTGGTGCATTGCAGGCAACTTATTACTGCAATAATCACTCCTACTTGTCAATACAAGGATTGCTGCGGTGTACAGTTAATCACAGAAATAAGTTCTACTTCAGTAATCTCAATGCACATGTTAAAACCTCAAAAGCACTTGAAGTATTTACAAGTTTATTCGTAGTAGTTAAAAAATTGGCAGCAACGATATTTTTATGTTACAAAATGATTTCTGGCCTGCTGACAGAACCTGCTACAAGTGACCTGATCACTACTCATGTTGTCTCTGTTCACCAAAAAGGTACTTTAGGAAACAAGGCTCATCAACAGTGTTACTGTACTACTTGTTAAGCATAAAATGATTCAAAATACATACTCAGTAGAAGCCACAGCTATGGGCCAGAGATCCAGTCCTTACAGATCTGATATCCAGAGGTTTGATTTCCATTAACGGTAGAAAAAGGCAGTCACAGCTGGGCTTTCTAAAAGGGAAACTTGATGTGGCTCAGGTGCCTGAAGGAATAATTCACAGCAGAAGCCAGAGTAAGCACTTCTGGAGAGAAATGAGAGGCAAAGGGGATTCCTCCTTGCTCTGTTTTAAATGACATTGATGCAGCTCCAGAGCACAGTGGTTTCTCCAGTGCGAGAAGTAGAATACAGAATTCAGTATGGCAAAGAGGAATATGCAGTGTACTAGACTTTTGAAGATAATATATGCTACAAAACCACCACGGTTAAGACAATTAAGTCCCAAGACTGTTTCAAACACCTCCAGCTTTAGGATTTTTAATTATTAAAATTATGTCACTGAATCAAAGAGAGGTCACTAAACCCAAGCTTCTGCATTCTGCTTCATCTACAATTGTGAAGCAGAGGTTTGTAGAGGCAGTATGTTTTATATGCTCAGTGTCAACTAGCTGGGAACGCAGCAGTTTAAAAAATTATTACAGATTAAAAGTAAGTGGTTGATTCTTTAGCACTCCTCCTTCCAGTCACTTCTTGCACTATATTCTCAGTCATATCTTGTTTTGACTTTAAAAAAAAGTCAGGGCATAGTTCCGTTTACATGACTCATCAGGTGTTCTTCTGGGAGCTGAAAGAAAAATAAATTTAATTACTATTATACAGTACTGCAGGCAACTTTCAGGCTGAATTATAATCAAATGTCATTTGGAAGCATATGGCATAATAGGAGATTGGCTTAACTCCATTATCTCAAGATGATAAATAAAGAGCAAATATTGAAAGCTTTCAAGAAGGCACCTACCTCTAGTTAATAATTCCTTTCAAAAGAGCCCATTTACTTCTCCTGACACTGGGTCCAAGTCTATATCATAGAAACAAGGTCTTGTCGGAAGTCCTGGCATAGTGCTCATCTGGACAACAAAAGAAAAACTGTTAAAATAGGAGCAGCATGGTTTTGTGCAGAAGATAGAATACTTTATCACTACTACGATGGCAACAGCCGATGCAGCTCCTCGCTTACATACTAGCTGGATGATGGTCATGTACCATTTCAAAGCACACTGTGAGAATCAGGAACTCCTGGCTCAGTAGATAGATCTGGAGTTTTTGTTTTTTATGATAAGGATTTAGTTTGGCTTCTGACTCTGCCACTGACTGAGCCCAAGATTTGGCAAAGTACTTAGATATCCACTGACCAGTTAACTGTCAGAGGAGCGCTCATGGACTTCGCTGTGGTGAGACAATAAATACTTGTGGCAGTTTTCTGGTTATTAAAATGAGGATACATGTTTTAATACAACTTTGCTGACTAAAGTCTCAATTGATTACAATTCTTTAAGAGTCTAGAACTAGAAGTGTTAAATAATTAGGAGTAATTATTGTTCAGAATAGACTTTAGTTTGTTGTTTGTAGGGCTTTTTTAGGTTTTTTGTTTTGGATTTCTTTTTTTTTAATGGGATAAAGATTAAATAGAGATGGAGAGGTCAGTTCTGACAGGAACATTTCTGAGGTGTTCAAGTTAGAAGGGCCGGGCAGTGGCAGAACTGAAGCCAGCATCACGCCTGACTCAGGCCCGTCCTCTCCAGTTGTCCCATTCCAAGTACCCAGTTTCAGAGCTTGGAACACAATGCCAGCAGGGACCACACTTGGCCTGATTCACTAATGCAGGTGATGGGATTTCCCTTTCCCTGACTCAGCATTTAGCCCAGCAGCACACATAGGCTAACACGGATGCTCTACAAAGCTGGGCAACTTGTGACCATGCTTGGCAGTTTGTGCCAGTGATCATTAACCCCTTTAATAAAAGCTTCAAAGTCTCATTTTCTATCTGCATCATCCGGCCTCAGCTCTCACAATCAGTATTGTTATGCCTGTTTCCATTAGACTAAAGATCTCTTTGGCAACCTGGTATGTTCTCCCTGAGCAAGTATTTTGCACACTAATCAAATTACCTCCCAGTCTTCCTTTTGATAATAAGCTATGCAGCAAGGAGGCAAAGCTCTATTGGTTAGATGCTTTCTGCAGTTCTCAAAACTGTTCAGGGAGCTTCTGTAGTCCCATCCCATTTTCTTAAGCCATTTATAAATGCTAACACCAGTCCCACATGTACCACACCACTGCAGGTCTTGCACAGCTTAGGCAGAGGTAAAAATCACTTGAGTCTACTCTTTGTAATGAATTCTAGGACTGCATGAGTTTTCTGTCAGAGCCTCTGCTTTCCCAGACAGAGAACAGGGGGGGTACAGAGAAGACACCCGTTCCTTGTCTTTGTGTTTAGTTGTATGAATATTTTGCTCTCAAGAGCCAATGTATTGAGACATTCAAAGTGCCCGGAGGGGTTTTCCCGTTCTCACCATAGTCACTGCCAGTCTCTCCAGCCATGCAGATCAAGAAACTTCCTATTTATTTACGTACCACTGAAGAACCAAAGAGCTTTGCAGATCTCCACCTACAGATTCAGAGTGCCACAGCAGGAGCTGAGACTGTGAAATTCAATAGAGCAGGAGGTGCCCTATTGCTGAAGATGGGCCTGACTATATTATTTCTTGAATTGTCTGTTTTGAAAGGAATGGTCTTCTCCTTTCCTATCCATAGGGCAGCCCACAGTGGGCTACTCTGCTATCTGTTATTTAAAGGCAGTCTGCTTAAACCCTGAATTTCTATGCAGTACAGGGTAATTTCCATCCAGGCTACTAATTTTCTGTGTAAGTGTCTACAATGCTTAATGCACTCAGTTATTGTCAGAGCTGAAGAAATGAACCTTTCATCCATTCTCCTCCTCCCCTTCAATACCACATGTGCTGAAAAAGAACACAGGGCAATTCACACTATTTACTTACATGAAAAAAATAGACCACATGGATATCATCAATTACCTTGTAAGATTTCAAATAAAACCAATACCAACTAAGCATGTATTATTTATTGCACTTGTGGAACTTCCAAAGAAAATGCCATTCAGGAACTAAAAAAACTGAGCTGAATAAATAATTTGTTTTCAATTCATCAGCAGCACCAGAAAAGAAACCCAACCAATTTGAGTCCAATGGTTTATTTCACTTTCATTATCTTCCATGCTCAAAGTAAAATCTAGATAAGCCTTGAAATTATATTTCTTTTAAAACCTCAAAGTATTTCTTAATAAAGTACAACAGCTTCAACTTTGAGCCAGAAAGGGAAAACCTCAAAAGTCAGAAGTGGAGAAAAAAATACAAGAATACACATGCATCAGTGATTAATTTCACCTCCAATTTATCATAAAAGTTTCTGCATAGAGCTATGTATTTGCTGCATTTTCAGCTCACAGTTCAATGGCTGCTGCCAAAAATTTATACTGAGACTAACACACCTCCCGCTGAAAGGGTTTAAAATAGTGATCTGATTCAAAATGGCCTGGATTGCTTCTCAAAAGGACATCCCTTCCCTGGCTTTGTAGACACCACAGAAGAGTGATCTTCATGTCCCTAACCAGAAGACTTGCTGTTAATTCTGCCAGAATTAACACCATGATTTACTACATGTCCAAGAAGACATTAGGAATTTGGGAAGGGAGCAGAAAGGAAAGAGTCCAACTTCATAGAAACTGAAGACATCAGAAAAAGACCCAAAATGTTAGTTTTAATGTCTGAAAATATCTTTCTCTTGTGTAGCTCATTAATGCTGTGTGCCCTTTCCTTCTCCAGTGCTTAAAAAAAAAAAGTAAAATATCATTGTTTGGATTAAATCTTGGCTTGAAAAAAAAATGCCATAAATAACAGGAACAAGCATGTTATCTTTCATTTTATCCCAAAACACACACTACTCTAAGAAGATGGATGAGCCAGACTTTAATCAGGATGTGGTTATTTTATTTATGTTGAGTAATCTGGAAACCTTTACCTACCTTTTTTTTAAAGAATTAAAAGAAAAAGATCCCCAATATTTGGCTCTAGCTACATCTGAAGAAGGGATCCGACTCTTAAATCAGCGAATTTCATCATCTGAGCCACGCATCCCAATGCTTTTGAAAGCTTAACACAAACATGTTGCCATGAAGACTTCAGAAAAAGGTTCAGGCCCAAAATATAAGAAAGAGACAGAGCTGCCTGCTCCAACTGCTCCATCCCCTAAAATAATCTAACAAGTTACTTAACATTTGCCCAGAAGAGATTCCCCAGATAAGACTTCCAGCAGATCCTTTCATCCTGACATTCATTGGATGCAAACCTGAATGTTAGTTCATTTTGCAGGTAGCTCCTCTTTCTGCCAGGCAATTCATATCAAAGCTATTCCAGGATCCTGTTTCCATTGTAGCTACTCTATCCTCTCAGCTGACATTACGTTAATCATGTCAGAAACTAAAAACTCAAGGGCATAGTGAAATGAATTGTTGGAACTGATGCAGGCTGAACAGCAAACAGATGGTCAGCAAAACCACGCGGACCAAATGGGAGAGGAGACTGATAAATGATTAATAGTAGTACAGGTCAACTTCATTTTGGAGGTGTTTCATCAGAAGTTGTTTGCTTTGTAAGCTCTGGAGGAGTTGTCCTGTTCAACCCTGATCTGGAGGTGTACACAGACTTCACCTACAATACTGCAAAGAGCTTTCATCAGGAATACAAAGGCACAACGGCGATTAGGTGGGCCAAGGATTTCTCCCATCCCCTCTGCCAGACTGCAGTTCCCAGAATTCATTAGCTACAGAGTTCATTCTTTCCTCAAAATCCAGGAAAACAGAGATGTGGGACCTGAGGAGTACACTGGGGGCTTTCTAAGTATTCAGATGGTCTATTTTAGCTTACCTCTTCCCCCTGAAAAAAAAAACTGTTGAGGGCACCTAATACACTGAACTGCTATAACACCAACTATAAATGACAAGGACTCTCCTAATTTAAGACACCTTTTGTAACTCTTACTGGAATGCACACGAATTGCTTTTTCCTCACCCCACAGTTGAGGGTTTCACTCAATCACGTACCGTTCCTACTAGTGGATACAGGAATCCAGCACCAACACTGGCCCGAATGTCTCGGATTGGCAGAATAAAACCTGCAGGTGCCCCTTTTTGTTCAGGGTCATGAGACAGCGATAAGTGAGTTTTAGCCATGCAGATTGGCAGGTTTCCAAATCCCTGGGAAAGGCAATGAAAGCAGAGAGAGAAAGGGGAAAGAAGTGAAAAAACAGTAAATTTTCTTGTACATTAATGTAATTGCTCTATTCTGCCGTTCTCTGCACACATCAGGAATTTTACAGGACGTTTTATTTCTCATTAACCACTTCACCCACATCCTGTCGGATGTGTTGACCATTCTGCATCCCCATTCCTCCTCTCTCATGCTCTCCCTCTGCCCCCTACTAAGTATTAAAGAACCATGGCCCCCAGCACATCCAACTGAGGAAAAAATTAATGGTATGGAAGTGTTAGATATAAAACCTTGATAGCTAACTTACTTTCTACTCTCTTCTCAAAACACTAATTTAAACAGGTCAGAACTGAAGTTCTTGTTTGGCTGAGGTCAGTTAATTAGAACTGTTTGATCAATATAATTGCAGGTCACGAGGAAGGGGCAAATTACATGCCTACGGTATTTTGATAGACTTGTAAGGGAATATACAAGAAACATGAAAGTGAGAAACTATATGTGCCAGTAGTAAATGGTTTGCAAAAGCAAAATTATTCAAGCACACTGTAAACAAAGAATGGCTAGTTCTCACATGACTCTTCTCTTCAAAGCCCTTTACAGACCTTTACCTGCAGAAGCAGGTAAATTCACAAGAATGTCATGTTAGAGAAGAGTAAAAGCAACACAACAACCAGAAAGCATCTAATTCAACAACCAGATGCCAGGTTCAAAACTTATAAAACAATACTTATTGTGAAAAGAAGTCTGCTATCACCTGTGGAACTTTTTCCCCAACGTAACTGCAACTGCCATAAATCCATATGGGTTCAAAATCTGATTAGACAATGCAGCAGAACAAGATAAAAAGGAAATAATCAGACTGTTTAGCACCAGTGTGACCGCTTGTAGTTTCCCAATTCCCAAATTGCTGAAAGATTTGAGAGTATCACTGAATCCTTCTGCCCTTCTCTCCCCATACACTATCACAGATGTGCTACTGAGCCAGATGAGTTCTGTCCTCTCCACTAGAAGCCAGGGCCAGTTTCTCCTTCCCCGTATCACCTCCTCTTCCTCCTCTGCCATAGCAGCATCTAACAAGTCCTGGACAAGGACATGATTTGAGTGATGATTCTCTTCACACACAGTTTGAACATCACTGTTCAATATGAACATTTTAAATGAAAAGCACCACTGGTATCAGGTGACATGGAAAACTCACTTGCTTAGTGTACAAGGTGACTTTCTCCTGTGCTTCTGGAAGTAGCTCAATGTCACTTGCCCCGTAGATCTGCTGTGCAATAAGCCTGATCTTATCTATAACAGGGAGCTAGAAAAAAAGACAGACAGACAAGTCAGTGTGGCCAAACTACAAAGACCTGTAACATGATGTCAGCTTCACAATCCTCCATACGTGCTATGCAGTTCCCTTCTGCTGATACAAGAGCTATTACCGTTCGCTGCAGAACAAAGCTATACAGGAATTTGAGTGTTTTCAAAACACGTTTCATTCATCTTGTTGCAGTTTTTTGTCTTGGTAAGAAGGCAAAACAAGTTTACTGCAGTCAGAAACAAAAAGATTAGACAATGGTGTTTCTTATAAACTGTGCTTACATGTTAATTGCCCCCACTGCAAAAGAAGCATCTTTATTCTCTCGTGTCTTAAGTCAAAGAGCAGAGAAAAATAATTTGAGGGAATACAAGTTAATGGTTAAATAAAAGCACAAATAAAACAAGTTAAAGAAGAAAAATTGAAAGCATCTGTTAGGGAGCTAAAATAAGATATAATGACACAGCTCTGTACCTTGTTAGGTTCCTGAATAGGTGCTTGCTATTAAAGGAGGATTCAGGCCATATCCTGGGAACTAACAGTGACTTCATTACCTCCAAGTCATCTGTCAAATTTGCTTAATGTACAAAGTCATTAGAAATACACCCCCACCACCCCCCGAGTCTCTTCCACCCTGACCTGTAAAAAAAAAAAAAAAAAAAAAAAAAAAGTTCAAAATGGCCAAACTCCGTTCCCTAGCCTGTTATATGGATTCTCATCCTGAGCAACAAGTGCACCCAGAAGCTTTGCAGTAAGGTAACAGGTTTGGTCACGTTGTTCCAGCTCACGCTCTGACAGGAATGCATGTCTCAAGTTCAAGAACTAAACTTCCCCCTACTCTGGAATGCAGCTGCCATGTTTTTCATCTCTATCAAGAATCACAGCAGCATCTTACAGTGTCAAAAGTAACCAATATTTCACTGGGTAGTCAAAACAAGAACTGACTAACTAGGTATTTGAAACTGGTGGAATAAATGTTCTAAAACCAGATTTCTTCTTCGTTTTTCAGAGCAGCCTTTCAGGCAGCCTTCAGCAACCTAAGCTAGTGAAAGCAACTGAACTCCACCTTATAAACAAAGTACCTCTGTAACACTGCAAGTTCTTACCTCCACATTATAGAGGAACCTGAAGTTGCTTGGTGCCTGCGACGCTCTCTGAACAGCCTGGGCCAGTGCAACCGCTCCTTTACCTCCCTCTGCCCAGTGAGTGCACTCCACAGCATCGAACGCTCCCGCTTCCTTTGCCATTTGGACTACAAGGGCCAGTTCAGCCTTTGTATCTGTTCTGTAAGGAAAAGAGTTTGCACATTTGTACCAGAATGCACACAGAGTAAATGAACTATTTTTTCTAACAATTTTCACTTTGACAAGGTCCAAAAGCTGTCCAAAGAAATCACAGAGTCCAGCCACCAGGGAGCTGCTGAGGGACTGTCCACCACAGCCCTCCCCACCTTGGTGAAGGAAGCTACTCCACAGAAAAACAGACAGCAACAGGTAGCTCTAGAAGTACACATAGAAACTCATGACAACTAACAAAACAGTGTTCCAGACTGTCATATCTGTCCTGTATCAGCAACACAACTCTTGTTTTCAGAAGCAAACTCAAAAAGTATTAGTATTACTGATTGAGAAGTGCTGTTCATGTGCACACAACAAGCTAAACCCCATAATTTCTCTAAATCAGCCAACATGCATTTACTTCAGATGAAGAATCCTTAGCTGGTTATTCTGCTTCAAGTGGCATCAGCTTTAAACACACCAGTTCAAAGCCCTTCTGCTTGCATAAAAAGACCACACACAGATTCTATTTCCTGTGCAGTACACAATGTGCAGAGCCCAAAATGCTTCTTAGCAGGGCAGAATTATTCCATACAGCAGACCACTGAACACAGTGTGTTTGACAGCACAGGCACCTCACCATCTATTATGAACTTAGATTCCACATTGTGGGCTACTCAATGGATGAGGAATTGGCTGGATGGTCACACTCAAAGAGCTGCAGTCATCAGCTTGATGTCCAAATGGAGGGCAGAGACGAGTGACATTCCTCAGGGTCGGTGCTGGGACCAGCGCTGTTTAACATCATTGTTGGTGACATGGACAGGGGGATCGAGGCACCCTCAGCAAGTCTGCTGACAACACCAAGCTGTGTGGTGCAGTTGACTTGCTGGAGGGAAGGGATGTGCCATCCAGAGGGACCTGGACAGGCTGGAGAGGTGGTTCTGTGTGAACCTCATCAAGTTCAACATGGCCAAGGGCAAGGTCCTGCACATGGGTTGGGGCAATCCCAAGCACAAACACAGGCTGGGTGAGGAGTGGATTGAGAGCAGCCTTGTGGAGAAGGACTTGGGGGTGTTGGTTGACAAGAAGCTCAACATGACCTGGCAATGTGTGCTCGCAGCCCAGAAAGCCAACTGTATGCTGGGCTGCATCAAGAGAAGCATGGCCAGCAGGTCAAGGGAGGGGATTCTCTCCTCTGTTCCTCTCTTGTGAGACCCCACCTGCAGCACTGCATTCAGCTGTGAGGCCGCCAACATCAGAAGGACATGGACCTGTCGGAGCAGGTCCAGAGGAGGCCACGAAGATGGATCAGGGGGCCGGAGCACCTCCCTGTAAGGACAGGCTGAGAGAGGTGGGGTTGTTCAGTCTGGGGAGGAGAAGACTCTGGGGCGACTTATAAGTGGCCTCCCAGTACTTAAAGGGGGCTACAGAAAAGATGGGGAGGGACTTTTTACAAGAGCCTGTAGTGACAGGATGAGGGGTAATGACTTTATACTGACAGAGGGTAGATTTAGATTAGATATAGGGAAGAAATTCTTCCCTGTGAGGGTGGTGAGGCCCTGGCACAGGTTGTCCAGAGAAGCTGTGGCTGCCCCCTCCCTGGCAGTGTTCAAGGCCAGGTTGGACGGGGCTTTGGGCAACCTGGGCTAGGGGAAGGTGTCCCTGCCCGTGGCAGGGGGTTGGAACTAGATGATCTTTAAGGTCTCTTCCAACCCAAACCATTCTATGACTGTATGATCATCACAGGCACCTTTTGTCCACAGTAATTTGGCCAGTGAGGGTATAAGGAATGCAGATAGTAGTCACTGGTCATAAAATCCTGAGCTAATTTAAACTAAGGAATGCATTTGAAATGACTAAGCAGAGCTCCCTTATTTATTTAGCATCTTCCAACAATGCAAAATGCTGCAAAAAAAATCAACAGTACTGAAAACAGGAGTCTGTGTTAAACATAGCATATAAAGTGCCACAATTTTACTCCCATGCATCACTTTTATGTCCCAGCTCACTTACTTGAAAGCATTGACAGCCACTACTACTGGGACACCAAACATCCGTGCGTTTTGGATTTGCTTGTTTAGGTTACTACAGCCTCTTGCCAACAGCTGAAGATTCTGGAAAGAAGATAACAAGCAGGAAGCACGTTTTATCAGGGGCAGTGAAACTTTTGTTCCAAGTCCACAGCTAATAATGTGTTACACCTGCAGCTAATGATGTCAAAATGGGAGTGAAACCACAGAGGCAAATCCCCAGTGCTGCTTTCTGCACAGTCCAGACCGGTGCATGCTCTTGAGTGGGAGACAGGAAAATGAACGACCACTTCTAATGGTCAATGATCACTGGTTTCAGCTGTCAAGTCAAGGTAAGAGAAATTCCTGTTTATCATTTTTGTTATTCTTAGTAGTTAATACCCATGCTCATTAACTCCCCACACTAAAGCCTTATTTTCCTCTCTGACACATTCTTCTATGTATTAAATATCATTAGTAGTGAATTTCATGACACTTGTTTGAAGTCTGTGGCAACAGCTTTTGGCTTACACATATTTACATTTTGCAGCATCAGAAACTATTAATGGAAATCCAGACATTTCATCCCTTCCTATGCAAAGAATAATCCATACAGAAGCTCCACAAGTGAGAAAGCTGCAGTAGTATAAAGATAACCAGACCCTTGATCCAAGTGTATGCAACCATTCAAGTCACAAGGATAGAAGCTGAGACTTTAGTTCACTTTCCTTCATGCTCGCAAAGGAGACGGGGGAAACTGCTGCTGCTAAGAAGAGAGTAATTAGACAGGCACTCTGAATATTTTCAGAGACAATATTTCAGCCAAGCAATTACTCCATACTGAGAGGGTCAGGGGACACAGAGTAGATATTAGTATGAAAAATTGAGCGTGCAGGCAATTGCATGAGCTCAGGAGAAACAAGAAGGCTCTGAAAATTGGCTAGGTTAAGTACAATAAATGCTTGAAAGAGCAGAGCCAAAGTAACAACATAAAAAAACCCCAACAAAAAAACCCCACGAATATTACAGCTTGTATGAGGAAGCAGTTTCCTGGCAGCTAAAGAAATGACACACTAGCTATCCAGGCGTGTGCTGCATGACAACATTGTGTCATGACTGCAGTTAGTTGGTCAACTGTCACAACAGCTAAAGAAGGTTACCTCTTCCATGTACTCCTTTGGTAAAGGTACCCCAGCAGTGACCTGGGGAAAAAAAAAGGAAAAAAAAAAAAAAAAGACAAAAGATAGAACTCCATAAAATTTTTATCCATGATAGAAACTTGTGCTCAATTCTTATTAAACAGTATCAAGATACAACATTCTACTCCAGGCTGATCTTTTTCTAAGACAAAAAATAAAAGGAAGAATAAAAGTCTGCAAGATGCACTCACAATACAACAAATGACTGACTGTGGCAATATCACAAGTGCCCCAGCATACAAGCACTTCATTAGGAGAATAAAACAAGCAGGTATGTACCTGTAAACATACTTTGTTGCTTACAAGCAACAGAGACACATGGATCCCTTTTACAACTGCAAATCTCAAAATAATTACAAGCAGATCAAACCCTACAGGTCTTTAAGATCAGAAAACAGTAACAGCCCCTCAGGCCTAAAGGAAACCTTGCCCAGCACTTACTGCAGGCCCTCCTCCGTGCATTTTCAGAGCTCGGACAGTAGCAACCAACACCACCACATGAGGCCGGAGACCGGAATAGCGGCACTTAATATTAAAGAATTTCTCCATGCCTATGTCTGCACCAAATCCTGCTTCTGTAACTAGAGTAGGAATTAAAAGAGAAGAAGCTTGTGAGAGCTTTGCTGAGTAAAGAAATCATGCCCTGATGATATAAATTGGAAGCTTCTTCCAAGACAAAAAAAACCCCAAAGACGGTCATGATAAAAAAAAAGGCAGATCCCTCCCTGCAAAACAAACAAACAAAAAACCATACCCCACTCACTTACCAACAAAACCCTCTTTACCCACAAGCTTCAGTGCTATTTTGTCTGCCAACACTGAAGAATTCCCATGTGCAATATTGGCAAAAGGTCCAGCATGTACAAACACTGGTGTTCCCTAGAAAAAGGGGGGTGTGGGAGGGAGAGAAAAAGAGAAAATCAGAGTGTACAATTTAGCAAATCTGCAGCATTTCAGCAGCTAAGTACTATGGTACCTGAAGGTAAAGAAAAATGCTTTTAGAAGACAAATCTTACAGCCTTCTGATCAAACATTTGTTATCAGTAATAAGTACTACAGGGCAAACAGGATTATTATAATCTGCACAAGTGGAGATATTAATCCTCTTAGGAAAAGGATGACTAAATCCCAGAATCTCTTTGCCATTCTCCTGCATCCACACCATTCAAATTTCCAAAACACTTCCTGGCATTAAAGACAATAGAAGAGAGACACAGCAAAGTTCAGTGCATTTCCTTGAGGTCATCCTACATGTCAGTGGCAGACCTAGAAAGGGTCTTCTAGCCTTCTCCCCTAGACCTGAACCTTGGGTATGAAACTGCAGTAAATCTCCAACTCTAAGCCGAGTAAGCCCATGCTGATTGTGATGAATGAACTAAAGCAGCTGCTTCTTGGCTCTGAGAACGCACATATAGCAAATCATCTGTGCTCACCTCTAGTGTCTGCATGAGGTTTGGTTTAACAGCATCTCTCATCAGGACAGCCAGAGCACCAGTCACTCCCTAAAAGAGAAAAAGGGCAATCAGTTTCCAGATGTACTGAGACCTTGAGACACTTCCTATGCAGTGTCAAGGCTCTGCTTTTGTCCTGGTGAGCTTTCAGGACCAGAACCAACAGTTGCTCTAGATATCGTAGAATGGTTTGTGTTGGACGGGAACTCAAAGATCACCTAGTTCCAACCCCCTGCCACGGGCAGGGACACCTTCCACTAGACCAGGTTGCTCAAAGCCCCGTCCAACCTAGCCTTGAAACAAACTCTAAAACTAACTCTATCCAGGGCAAGGCAGAATAACAACCTTTACATTCTTATAAGAGGATCTATGATTTCTGCTGGGGGGAGCCTCTTGGCTGTGACCTTGCTTGGCCATCACTTTGTACTGAAGGCATAAAAACAACTGCTATTTTGATGCTAGAGCAAGGCTAGTAAACAATAGCAGCGAGAGTTACCCTTAGGTACATATGGTTTACTGTAGCCCATTCAGTGGCACAAAGCAATGTTCTTAGGTCTTGCAGGTAGATTTGTCTTGGACTTTCTTCCTTCCTCATTTCAGCAACTAGGCTGTACGTACTGGCCTTAAAATGTCATAACAAGCTGCTACATCTTGATGAAGTCTCTTATGCTGAAATAACATTTAAAGTGAATCTCTGTGCTCATGAGAAAGACAGCTGATGTGAAAGGCAAACACTGGAGACCACGTTTCCTCTGAGATATACTGCAATTCTGCTTCCTGTGAAGGGAAAGCTTATGATTTCATACACATCTGCTCTGGGAAGAGAAAATGAGGGTTCGGTCATCCTTGTGACTGACACAGTCCAGTGGAAACCAAACTATCTTTTACCCAGCACTTGCTGTCATGGGTACTGAGCCAAATGTTAACAGCAGTTATGAAAACCTTAAACCATTATTTCTTTTTCTTCCCTTTTAATTTCAATTGGATTGCAGCACTCATTTATATGAAAGATTTTTTAAAAGAAGACATTCGCTGTTTTGTTTCATTTGTTTTACTCTTGCCACATGAAAGCTTATTTAACATTTAACAGATAAGCTTTAAACTTCAGTCATCTCCAGAATAATGAAAACTACAGAGCAAGATTTCCATGGTGACATTTCAGACCTGTGTCACTCAGAGGCACTTCAATACATCCCATCTCCAAAAACCTGTAGTCAGTTTTTGATTCCACATTCCTTCCCAGTTTCTTTGTGCTTCCTGGTACCACACTCATGACATCGGTTATATCAGAGCAGGACCCAGACATCTTACTGTGCCAGTCTGGTCTTTACAATCACCACGTTTCTGCCTGCATGAGGAGTATGTAACACAGTCCTAACAATGCAGACCAATGGCTGCCATCAGTGCAAACATAACATGCAAGAGAACCTGTTGGACAGGTCTGATAGCATCCAGCATTCCACAGTAGCAATGGACAAAAGGAAATATAATTAGATTTTTTTTAAAAAAGTATTCTTCTATCACCTGGACTCTACATAAAACTCTAAGCAAGGCCCTACCCAAGGACCATCTGCTTCCGCTATGGATGGACAGCAGGAGAGACTCCTGTTTTCTAGAACAAGGTTTAACTCAGGTACTTCAGGTTAAACTGGCAGCATGCTAGCAGTAGGAATTTAAAATCTCAAAGCTGCCTACAGAGCTTTGGCATATGCCCTCCCTCACTCCCAACAAATGTCTTACTTAAGGACATTTACAGATACATGGTTCCCAGCCTAGCCCTTTTTCTGCAAGGCCAGAGTCAGGCCACACCAGTAATCTATTGTTTCTTACGCTTATCCTGGGAGGAAGTAAAACAAACAAACAAACAAAAAAACCCCAAACACACAAGAAAACAAAAAAACCTCACAGTAAGATAGCAAGAGCTGGTAAGCCTTAATGCTGTGTCCCACCTTGCTGAAAGGACTGGTCAGGATACTCACCCTGTGGGTATTATTCTATCCCACTGGAAATGTTCATTCAGAAAATGCCAGGCAAACCTCATTAACACCACATCATGCAAATTTGTAATACTCTTGTCTTTAGCAAAGCAGGCTGTGAAATATCTACTATACAGGACAGCAGTAAGCACCGATATCATTACTGACTAGTGCAACAGTTTTGAGCTTGTTTTCCATCTTGAGGCCAAGTGGCAGGGCACAGTTCACATACAGGGCTCAATTCCCCTTCCCTTCTCCAAACAGGGTTGCCACCTTCAAAACATGTATTGAAAGAAGTGTCTGGGGCACAGGCTACTCCCCCAAAACCACACTGAAGCACCATCTGGGAGAGTGCTAGTTGACACACTCCACAAACATGCCAAGAACTGTACTAATAATTATGGTATGGACAGCTGCAAGACAGTGCTGCAGCTTGCAACTGCTGCTTAGGACTGGTAACAGACATCACCAGTGCTACTACATTCAGCATTTCATGCAGTGCAAATAAAGGATTTGTCCCCCTCATCAAAGGCTGCCTTACGGAGACCTTGCACTTTTTCAAAGGGTTTGGCTTTTGTAGAATTCACAGCCTCCCAGAATAAGATATTTCATCATGTGTAATTAAATTTGCACAAGGCTTTGTTCCTGCTCCATGTTTTCCTCACTCCAGGGAGCCTGAGAAACAGGATGGCCAGCAGGATGCATTTTGAGTTCTTCCGATTCGTAAATATGCTTTTTATCTAGAAGCCACTGTGTATTTCCCCATTAATTCCTATGCTGCTAGCTTCAACGTGACACACAGCACGTCACACAGCACCCTTTGTCTCTACCCAGGTCTCACACACACACTCTCTCTGGGTAAGGTGCTAGCCACACTGAAGTAAAACCTTCATTGACTCCAGGGGCTAAGACTATCATTGATCTTCTGTATGCTAAGGTCTTTTCTGTACAGAACTGTCTCTATGCTTTTCAATCCAAGGACTTTCAGAAGTAATAGGAAAAAGCATTTAAGAACTGAATGACTCTCTTACAAGGTCGTCTGTTGTAACTGGCTCTCCTCTCTTGCTGGAGGCTACTACCATTCTGCCCAGTCGCTTTTTCATATCATCCAACCCATCAGAGAGTGCTAGAACTGCCATGATTTCACTGCTCACCGTGATGTCAAACTGAGCCTGCAAGAGATGAATAAAGAATGTGAACATATCCAGATTCCTTAGCAGCAATCCTTACCTCCGTAAAATTCTTGAAACAATCATCACCATCATAACAAAAAAAGAAAACAAACCCCCCCCAGACATACAAGAAAAAAACCCCAAACCATTACTCTCAGAACACTTCATTTAATTTGGCTGCTTTAAACTGTTGGGTTTTTTTTTCCTGCAAAATTGAGTAAAAACTACTTATTCCATCGCTATTACATGACTTTCTCCTAGCACATACATTAATGATTCATGTAAGAGTGCTTAACACTAACAAATTATATTTTTGAAGACTGAGCTTACTAACTCATCTGACTATCACTGAACAGTACAGTAAAGGACAAAAAAAAAAATCAGATTCTATAGGAAATGAAGGGTAGAATTCATCTGACATAACATAGACACCTCCATTGAAGCTAAGCGCCCTAAGGACATTTTAAGTCAATAGAAAAAAGCTTTTCCGAGCACTATTAATTTGAACCATTAATTTGACAGTTACTTAAGGGATGAGAGGAGTCACAGCCCAGATTGCCTGTTTTACTCTATTGATTATATAATGAATCTAGACAACAAGCTGAGATACTGTGTCTAGCTTTGGCCAGATACACCCACCCAAAGCATTTGCAGTGGTGAAAATGAGCCACTTCCACACATCCTATTTACAGAGGGCACTTGTGTATCACTGTTACAACACAGTCATCCCAGTTTGGGAAGCCAACATTCAGGAGAGAACGGGGAAGGAGGGAACAGACAGTAAAACTAAACACTGCACTGGTAGCAAATTTAACTGCTTGTTTGAAGGGACTTCCTGTTTTCTCTTTAACAAGGTACTGGTAAAAGATGGAAATATCTGGAATTACAGAAACTTGCTTTAGGACCATGTTTTTCATAATACTTTTAAAAACATGCAAGAAAAGGGAACAATTACCATTCGTGAGAAGCCTTTTTCTGTTGGAGACTGTCCAATAGTGATTTTCCTAAGGAACCTGTCATTTGTGTCCAGTACTGCAAGGAATGCGGAGAGAAAGATGATAAGTCATGTTGCAAGTTGTAAGTCACATCTATGCCCTATTACAAACACTCAGCTACATCACCTACAAAGAGAGGATGGCAGTTTGACACACCAAAGGATAGCAAGTGCTACTCAATGCTATTCTTCCCCAAAACTGAACTACAACGCAAACACCCACAGTCTCATGCACACCCTGCACTGCATCCAGAGGGAGCCTACCTCCCTTTGCGTGCATTAACCACAAGTCCAAAGCCTTTCTGAAAGGCAGAGCTGCTACTATTATCCCAATTGCTTTTTCACCATTACTAGTCAATGTGAAATAAGGAAATTATTATAGGCAAGAAATGAAATTATCATTTTATAAGTTGTGATAAAATGGTCAGATTCTACCATTTAGTGAGAATAGTTTCACGCAGCTCCATTAACTCAAATTACCTTGGAATCACAAACTATCAAATACTGGCTTAAATTTGCTGTTTCTTACTATCTGCTTGGAAAATTCCAACTATTTCATAAAATATTTCCCATGAGGCAGACTGCTTTAGCCTCATTACAGGTTATGAAGTAAATTTTGGAGAATATATTTGATGTATTTTAATAATAAGAAGAAAAATCAGTACTCTTGGGGCCAAAATCAGAGAAAAATGTCCATAAAATCTGCCAGATCAGAGATTGATCTTACCTCCAGGTGTCTTTAAAAACCTTTAAAAAAATCTGGCCTTCATTTGCTGTCAGTTCCCAACAGAGCAAGTGGGCAGACGGAAAACTGAGTTTAATCCCAGAGCAGAACCGTCTCCTTGCTCACAAAGCTTTCTCAGTCAGGTAAAAGGGCTTATTGCCTACAGTTGCCAAACTCGACTCTCTCAGCAACTGACAAATCCAGAAACACAAACTTGCACCAATTAGTGAAGTCTTAATCTCTGTGAATTCAGAGCAGATTCAAGCCCCTGTCAGACCCTTTAGAAATGGGATCCCAGGTGCAGGCATCTACCCCACCAAACACTCATAAGGAAAGGCCAGCCCTGCCCTCTTTCCTGTTTTCTCAGGAAACACAGTTCCTGCTGCACTTATGAATCTCGCTTTTGAGACACATTTCTTCTTAATAATTCTTTCATTTAATGGCTCTTGTACCTCTTTGCCATGTTATGGTGCCTGGGTCAATGTCCAATCTCACAAATAAGTTAACTTCTTCCTTTGTCAAAGCCATAGGATCAGTTTTGTTAATGCCCAATTTCTATGGGAAGAAAAGACAAATAAAAGAAAAACTGTAATGAAAAGATTTACAGAAATGAACCTTTCACTAGAGCAATGAGCCTTCTGCAGCAGCATAGTCAGAAATAAGGAGGGGCTGCCTTTTGGGTGCCCCTTCTCCTAGACCTCACAGAAATGTAAGATGATCTGTAGTGGTGTGTATCTGGAAGCAGAGCTGCTGCTGGCCAGCTAGCAAAGAGTACCGCAGACAACAGAGCTCATTAAGGCAGGTTGTCACCGAGCTTTGTGCAAGGCATGTACAGAAAGAGTAAGAGAGAGCTCTGCAGTTCCTTGCACGCCTTATTCTAACCATTAGTCTCACATGCTTACATCCATTTCTCATTAGTTTGCCTAGGGTCACTGCACACAGCCATACGTATTTAAGACGCTGCTTTCAGCACACTGGTTAAGCAGCACAAAGGAGGAATTAAACAATTCAGTCACAAGGCTGTCAGCATCCCAGAAAGCTGATCTTGAACATACTGAGAGGATAGGCAGTTTGCCAAGTTGCTTAATTGAGAGAAGAATTATCTCAAGAAGCCTGATACAAGTGCAAGCCTAGGAATGAGGAAAACGATTGAGTTGATTTATGAACGAGCAAGCTTTTTTTAATTAACTACACAGCTAAGTCGTATTTTTCTCCTGAAGAACAGCAGGGAAGAAGAAAGCCTGTTCTCTTCCTCTTCAAGCACATAATTTAGAAAAAGAAATAAACAACAACAACAAAGATACCATCTTTCTGGAGTATTAGCATGATGTTCACATCTCGACATTTAATAACCAGAAGAATGATTAGGGTAGAGTTCCCTCAGCAGTCTGCCAGGAACACCAAGCAACATGACATAGTTTCTTTGCTCAGCACTGGAAGCAAACCACACATTCTCTAACAGCTGAGACATTATAGCCAATTAATAAATCAGAGTTCAGAGTTTTAGCTTCCTAAGTAGTCTGACTATTGCTCCTGACTTCCAAATGGCAACTGATCCAAAGTGAATACTGTACAAACAGGTTTATACTTTGAACAAGCATAGCAGGCCCCAGGCTGTCCTCCTAGCCAGAAGCTCCAAGCCCAGTGTAAAACTATTCCTGTTAACCCTCACTTTTGCAGAAGTCAGAGACATATGCCAGTTCACATTAATTTCTGAAGATCAGGGGAGCTGTGGTCTGCTCTCAGACTGTCACTCAATGACAGGGCTACTCATCTCACTGGGAATTTTTCTGGGGGGAGAGGAGGAGTGGGCAGTGTAGGGGACATATTTTTTCCATTTTTCCCTGTTTTCTCAATCTGGATAAGACAAAAAATTCTCTATGTTCTCTTTTTGCCAAACTTTATAAATTGCTCTTTTTTATGTTGGATTATCTATATAGCTGTCATGTAGGAACTATTCATCTTTAGCTGTTAACTAGGTGTAAGGTACAGAGACTATTCTGGTTCTTTTTTATACTGCATTAAGTACACTGAATTGACAGTATTAATAAAGGGCACTAACCCCTTTGCCTCTTCCCACTGTGTTGCTCATACAGCATGTGATAAAGTGAGTTACATCAATGATTCTTCCCCTTTGGGCTGCATCTCACTGTTTTCTGTGCTGCAAGAAGGGCTACCACACTTTCTGCACACTTTACATAAAAAAATAAATGCCAGAAGAATGACCTAGAGAAACAGACAAGGGTTTCTGTAACCAAGCTCTGCCTATGTAAAGGATGAGTAAATTGAACAGACTCAGAAACCAATGCAAAACCAGTGAACTTACCTGTAGTCTTCGGATCTGAATGTCTGAGAACTTCCTAACACCACTGACAGAAGGCACCAAACGGTTGTAGAGAGCCTTGCAGAATGAAAGAGGTAGTTAGTTAGCACTGCTGACACAACCAAAACATCTTGGCCAAAGTGGGCTGTGCTCAAATACATCACAAGAAAGGATCGTACCTGGTCAGTCTGAGTTAGCTCATGGAATATACGTGCGTCGACAGCAGCAGCAACCAGGTTGTTGGCTGCAGTGATAGCATGGATGTCACCAGTAAGGTGAAGGTTAAACTAGAGGAGATAAAACATATCAGTTACCTCATCCTGCTGCAATTTTCATTTATTTCAATTCATCGTAGACAGATGGAAAGAGAAGTATTAATAGCAATGTTAAAGTGGGTGAGGGTGGAGGGGGAGAGATTGCTCAGTGCAGTATGTGGAAGAGAGGAAAGAATTTCTCTAAAACAGAAAAATGCCTCCCCCACATTTATGTCATTTTACAAACTTCCAGAACGAAGCTTCCAAATGAGAAGTTTTTTTTTTTTCCACAAGACCAGTTCTCACAGGCTCCCTGACACCTGAGAAGACCATGGTATGGCACATCTGCATTGCTCCTCCTTCACCTTCCTTCTGACCCACTCATTATTTGCACAACAGGTTTCACACATACATTAGCTGAAGCTCCCACAAAGGTATCTGAGCTAAATTGAAACTAACAACCTTGTGCAGTGCTAGCAGTAGAGCTGTGGTTGCACAGAGCTCTGCATAAGCTAATCACTCAAACACACAGTATCGTAGGCAGAACTTGTAGACCACGTACTACACAGTGACACTGCTAGTAGTTTTCTTCGTTCTATCTCATTAAAAGGGAGTTTGAGTGGGTTTGTCTACATGAGTTATCTGGCTGCATGTAGCTATACTGACAAATGGCTTGGGATATACAGCTTACGTGACAAACTGGCATTAGGGCAGGGGAGTAAAAGGTGTGGTTAAAACAATCCTTTTCCTCTGTAGCAGAGCAGCAAAGAAGGAAGATGAAAAGGGGATGTTAGAAAAGGTGATAAGACAGAAGACCTTACAATACTATTTTGTTCAAGTCTTGCTATTATGGTCTTGAAAACCAGATAGCTAAAAGCAGAATGCAGCTAGTCACACACTGATTATAAATCCTAAGTAGTAAATGCTAATTGTTGTCTCATTCTACATACATGGAACAAGAAGCAATTATTGCTACCTTGTTTCTACAGTAGGAGTTAAAAGTTTTTCACTTGCTAATCTTTTCCTAGGATGAAAGCTGCATGCAGAAATATCATTTGATATATCAAGGTCATTACTGTAACTAGTGACTCCAGATACTTCGATTTTACGAGTCATGCATTGATTAAAACACCCCCACAAAACTATGTGTATTTATATTACGTGGGTCATACTTAAAGTCCTTTCAGCCAGTTTAGTTCCAAGAGTGGGGCTGTTTCCCACTGTTGCACAGTGAAGTATTTCGCTTGCCTTATTAACACTCTCAAAGAGGAGGAGATTATTTTTCCTGTCACATCTATCATTCACACGTGTTCCTGGCACCTGACTAAATCAGTATTCTGCTTCCTTAACATTTTCATCTTTTATGGACTTGCTGTATCAATTGGAACAAACAGCCCTTCTGATTATTTCTGCTTTTCTTCCTAAAATTGCCCTGTGTCAATCTATAGTGCACGAGACAAAGGTAGAATTCTACAGGCAATTACTTTGAGAGTTGAGAGAAGCACGAGAGCACGTGCTACATGTGCCATTCAATTCCCTGCCCCCAGACATAGGATTTTACTTGTTGCCAAGTCACATCAGAAATATGCTGCAGTGCCAGTGCCCCACAAGCTGAGGTCTCTGTATTACTGATTTGCAACTTCCCTTCTCCCATTTCAAGTTAGTAATCTAAAACACAAGTACACCAAAATAGCTCACAGAGAGTCGGTGACCACTGCTGTTGACAGAACTACTTAATATGCTTCCAAAACATATTAAGTCATTACCATCTTCTTTTCAGTGCTGGGAAAAAAAAAAAAAAAAAAAAAAAAAAAAAAAGAAAGAGGCACAGGATGTACTTTGCTCAAATGCATACAGCAATTCAAGGCAGAGAAGGGATGGGAACAGTGGAACTGGGAATTCCCAGTTCCATGAAGTTCCCTGACTACACAGACATCCTTCTGAAACAAGCAAAGTTTTGGGTTGGTTTGTTTGTTTTGGTTTTTTTTTAAGAAAAAAAGCTTTGCTGAAATTAAGCATCCAGTTCTTAGGAGTGCTACATTGAGCCATAAACAAAAAAAGATTTTGTAAGTTATGTGACTGCAGTATCTCTTCAAGATCTGAGAGCGATATATGCAATGAGGCTTTGTATAAAGAATTACCTCTTCCATGGGGGTAATTTGACAATAGCCACCACCTGCAGCTCCACCTACAGAGAGACAATAGTCAAATCATGCAAATAAAGGTCTCTCTAGACCAGAGTGGTATTACATGTGTTTGCTTAATGGTTTTAAGAAGGCAGCTACTGTTGAGCAGCTTAGTTAAATCCCAGCACAATGCCTGAAGACAACACTGAAGAATTTACCCAAGGTTTTTCCTTCTTAAAAAAGAAATGCAATTGTAACTGGGAATTATGTAAAACCACAATCCAGCAGAATAAAATCTCTGAATGCCATCTTTCACCATTTAGTCCAGCTGCAAGCAACTGAACAGCTCATACCTTTTATACCAAAGGTTGGTCCCTGAGAAGGCTGCCGAACACAGGCAAAGACATTCTGGTGAAGGTGTGCTCCTAAGGCTTGAACAAGACCAACAGTGGTGGTGCTTTTCCCCTCTCCCAGGGGAGTGGGAGTTATCCTACAGTGAAAAAGAACAACAGACACAATTAAACCCTTGTAGTGGATGAGACCCAAACCACAGGGATAAAACAGTCACCCAGTGACTGCAGTTAATGCCAACTCAAATTCTGGATTGGCTCAGAATTCAGCTAATCTTCATCGGTTCAAAACAGGAATGAGATTGGCAAATTATCACATAACTGCTGAAGACTTTTCTCTGAAACAACCTGCTAGCTACTGTTGAAGGCAGGCTGCTAGACTAGGAGAACTTTGACTACAATCCACTCTGCCCTTCATAACCCTAGCCTTGCAGACCAAAACAATTCATCTCCAGAAGAGAAATGTTAAACTACATTTTTGCCACGAGAGATAAATCTATTTCCCAAACTACTAGATTTTCACAGTGTGATTTAATAAAATCCAGAGCACCTTGTAGAGTCACCTTACCAAAAGGCAATACAATGACAAGCCATGCTAATAAAATTTCTCTTCACCTTGACGCTATGTAAGTGATGCCTCCGTTAAGGAAGTACTTACCCAGTAACAACAACGTATTTGCCATCTGGTTGGTTCTTCAGCCGTTTCAGAGCTGACAGATGAACCTTGGCTTTAGTTTGGCCGTAGAGCTCCACCTCATCAGGGAGCAGGCCAACTTCTCTTGCAACTTGATCAATGGGCTTGGGTATGCAAGACTGCGATATTTCGATATCACTTAAAGAAAGAGACGAAGGTCAATTTGTAAATCAAAGACTTCTCACAAATACCCCGCTTCTGCATGGCATAAAGTACAAACACCTAATTTTAAAATTCTATATTTTTACAGATTTTAAAGTTCTATATTTTAAAAAGGAAGCTTTAACTCCTCCTAGTTAAATGAATCAATCTCACTGACACTGGCTACATTAGAACAGACACATTCTTAGAGTTGCCTTTCTTCTTTAAAAAAAACCCCACAAACCAAACAACAAAAAACCCATCACCAACCCTCCCCTCACTCCTCCCACCCCAAGAATGCCTTTTTGTAGGCAATGTGTTATGCTCCCTTATGGTATTTTGTACAGTTTCAACTGCTCCCTGGGGACTTGACACGAACAACTCCTACTCCAAGATGCTAGGTTTTTGCCATTTCAGTCAGACTGAAAATTTTCAAAAACACAAATGTCTTGCTATTTGCTGGTCACTATTAAAAATTAAAAAAAAAAAAAAAAAACAAAAAAACCTCTTCTCCAACATTCCTTAAGGTTCATCTTCTTTCTCAGTTAACTGAATCCAAAATGTTTGGACCAGAAGTTAGAAATCCTAACTAGAGCTCTGTAATAGCAAGAAAGCACAAGTTGCTTTGGTAGCGTGCTGATGGTCAGCAGCAACATACCCCAAAGGCAAATGTAAAGATGACCAGCAGTCTCAATCTGCCCACGTACCTGCATTAACATGGCCACAGTCATAGGCCCAACGCCACCAGGAACTGGGGTAATGTAGGAAGCTTTTTCCTTTGCTGTACTGTATGCCACATCTCCTACAACTCTTTTTCCACTGGCCTTTGTGCTGTCTGGGGATTTAAGGAAAAAGTAAGCTACACACCACATTTCACCAAAACAACAGAGGAAGCAGCACTGACTGAAGGTGAAGTCTTTTCCTCTGTTGGGAGTAAACAAAACAGAAGCTGAGTACCCAGGAAGCTGCAAAGAAAGAAAAAGTTAAAACAATATCACAAGATGAAGCTGTTATCATCATACATCACTCAGAGAGTGTCAACAGCTTGTGCAACACATCTTCCCATTAAGCACCATTTATGCTCAGCCAGCCAGATCTCCCTGTCCTTGAGAATGCCGGTATTTTCTCAGTGGCATATGGCCCACAGGTCAGTCTGAAGATGACTCCAAAACAAATGCAGGGGGACCAAAGCACAGACCAAGTCTTACATCTGTGCAATAATAAAACACAAATGGGACATACAATAGATGTCACTTGAACCATCCTTTCGCAGCTCCTGCTGTATTGCTCTGAAGGATTAGTAGAGCTTCCAATTTGAAGAAAATAAAAACCAACGGTCTAGAAGAAGTGAGACAAGAAACATGGCTGACTTCTTCCAGAATCCCAGGTTTACATTTGCTCTGTCCCGTTTTGGAGGACATCTAGGCCTTACTATGAAATGTAATCACCCACCTTTACAGAAACTAAAGACAAAAAGTACTGAGCTTTTCAATTACTCATTGCCATTCTAATTATGGACCAGCAAATGCTGCAGTTCACAGAGATCAGTCTTATCAAAACAAACCTCACAGTGGTTTAAGAGAGCTCCAGTAGAATCCTGAGTAGGAGAGCTCCTCTCTCTGTGGCAAAAAAAAAAAAAAAAAAAAAAAAAAAAAAAAAATATCCTGCTGCACTACATGACCTGACAATTCAGAAGCAGATATAGCACTTTTTTTTCCAGTGGTGACCTTTAATCTCACCCATACAGAGAGAAAAAGACAAAATGCATTAGTAAACTAGCACACTCATCTAAGGAACTCACTGATTATAGAAAGAGCATATCAAAAAAAGAAAATTTAAGTTTTTCCTGGAATGGCAGATCCTCATTTGGGAGAGTTTTAAGCAGTGTGGAAAACATGAAGATAGATTTTAATGTTGTTACATTGAAATATTATATTGCATACAGTAATTGTATGTTCAAACAGAACACAAGCAGTAACTTTAACATATTTGATGAGGGAGAGGAGTGGAAGAGAAACCAAGCTCCTAAAGAGCTGATTATGTTAAAACCAAAGAGGAAATAAAAGCAGCGCCTGCCAACACTAATTTTTAGCTGCATTGTTACTAACAATTAGCAGCTTGGATGTTTTGCTGTGTTTGTGTTTTAAGCAACACTTCTCCTCCCTAAAGTTCAATGCTTGAACAGCATCACAGCTGTTAAACAGTGTTGCTACAGCCACTGTCAGCTTTGTTGCCTGAACTGCAGACCAATCTGGCCTTCCAGCCTACTGACCAGTTTAATTAAGGATGCAAATGGCAAATAACAAACATATTTTCTTCCAAGGATGCCAAGCATGCTTACCAGTCACCTTGGCCAGGAAGACTCCAGGCCCAAGAATGAAGAAGATAAGCGATGAATTAGGCACTCCAAACACAAACAGCCTAATCTTTTACATACACAGTGATAAGCAGAAGTCAAACAAACCCCTGGTCCCTGCCTTTGCATCCACACCTCATGCCAAGCACTGCTGAGCACAGCTTAGGAGCTATTCAATTACCTTTAAAATACTCTTGAAGGAAAGCTCACATACAACACTTTCCATCTCTCCTCATAATTTCACCTTCACAATATTCATCATCCCACTCTTAAAAACACCTGAACTAGTTAGAGAGTATCAGTGACACTATAACTATTCCCAGTGCCTGTGTCTTGGGTCCCGTAGGTTCTCTAGCCAGCTGGAACACATGACAGAGAGCATCCAAGGACTCTGAGACCAAAGAAGTGAAGGACATGCCTACACGTATGGAATGAATAGGTATGATGTTCTCCACGAACTCCAAGCAAATTTGTGCCAATGTACATGCAGCTGTAACAAGTTTCTGGTGGATATATGACTGCAAACACACAAGGCCATACACAGCCCTCATTTATAAAACCTGCTTGCAGTCTGCTTTTTCTGGACACCACTAGGAAAGGTGTTTTGTGAGGGATCCAGTACAATCTGATCCCATAGGCCTGTGATGCCAGCTTGATTCCCAGTACATGCAGATATAAACAGAGCATCAAGTCAAGGCTTTCTGTATCTTCCTGGTGTTAGAAGAGCACAGCACTGAGATCCACAGACACTGATCCTCCTTTGCTGCTCTCTCACCCCACTGTTCAAGACTCTCTGTTGGCTAGGCCTGCAAAATCCCATAGCAGAGGAGGACTTTGAACAGGGTTGCTTTCCCCATCAGGACTCGGGGAGGGACACTCCAGAGACTATGTCATCTCTGAGAATATCCTCTGGCTACACTACTCTCCCTTCCTGCAGCAAAGCAATTTCTACAAGCATGGAATAAGGCATTCAGAATATCTGCTGGACTACCCTTTCAACTGCAACAGTGGGGAGAAAAAGATAATAAAAATCCAGTTTGGAAAGGGAATAAGACACATTTATCTGCCCTAATAGAGGTTTCAGAAGATCCTCTATCTCTATCTGGACACCTGGAAGAAATACTGTTCAGCTGGAGCACACATGAACACAAAGCCAGATGTGCCTGCACTGCCTATTGTAGCCTCCAAACTGAGAGGCTCGGGAGTATACAGGCCACCCTCCATTCAAAAGCAAACAGCTGCATTTGCATGGTGCTACATGGCCCTAACTTTCTGAACTCCAGCTTGGCAAGCCCACATGAAGTTAATGTCCTGTTATGTCAAATCACCTTGGGATTTGCCTGTACAGGCCACCAAAACTCGCAAAGTTTAGGCATATCCAGAGATTGCCACGTCCTCCAGCTGCAACTCCCCTCTAGGAGGCACCTAGCTGGGTGCACTTACGGCTATGCCAAGATGTGTAATAACTGTGATGTTTCTCCCTCTACCATGTTCAAAGCGCCATCACAGCTAGCAGCAATATTCTATCTGTGCAGTGATGTAGCTGGAGAAGCTGGCAAACTAGCTGCTATTCTTTCTTTCTGTAGCATCGCAAGTCCTACAATACTGGCACTGATTTCCCAAAAGATTCATCTGAAAACTTTTTCGCAACCTATCAGAAGGGAGGAGGCGGCAGAAAAATTCATCAACTTCAGAAAACCACAGGAAAAACAAGTCGTGGCATCCATCATTTTGAAATCTGACAATTTCCATGGTACTCTATTAAGCCCTGATTACCGAGTCTCACACCACCATTAAGCATATTGCCATGCAACACTGACTAGGCTGCCTGTACCAGCAGCTCAGATCTCAGTGCACCGCCCAAGGCAGACTAATTGTAAAGAAACAGGGAAAAGGTCATACCGTCGTATGTCAGGAACACAAGGGTAGTTTTATTTGCAACATGTTAGCAAAGCAGCAGTGACCCTGTGGGTTCTGGCTATTTGCCTCAGTTTGGGGAGCTTAGCACATATACATCAAGCAACAAACAGCAACAGCAGATGACTTTTTAATTTTAATTAGACAGAGGACTAATGTTTTTAAATGCAACTCAATGTCATCTTTGAGGAACAAGACTGCTGAACAGAAGTTTCTTTACATTCCATTAAATAATGGCAACAAAATGACTGATTAATTATGAAAACTACCTTTTGAAAGCCTTGTGGGTGTAGCTGAGATAGTTGGATGGTGACTAATTTTCCATATCATTCAATATCTGTAATTTGGATTTAAAACGAGATGAAAACAGAAATTGCCAGACTGTCTGTTCCTCCTTTATAAGCAAGGAGTAGCTAAGTGAAATCCTACCCTAAAATCCATTATGTTAAAGCACTTTGTTCTATGCCAGAGCCACTGTCACCAATACTCTTGCAGAAGCTGCTTTGTTTCAAGTCAACAGCCTAAGAAGTTAATGTGGAATTCAGCAAATACACAGCTACTTTAAAAGACTATTTGCCATTTAATGCATTTCAAACAGAACAGCTTAATCAGATCTAACTGCAAAGTAATGACAGCAAAGCTGCCCGCTCACAAGTGACAACAGCAGCAAGACTTCACTCTGTAGTTGGGGCAAATTACATGGAAATTCTGTTGTAATATTTCCTAGGCCTTCTCTTTCCTCTACTAATTGTCAGCCTCACTGACGGCAGAAACAAAACCACCACTGATCTGCTTTAGGACAGTACTTCAGATGAACTTTTTTTATTTTGGCAACTTCAGAGGTTGGCACCATTACCTAAGACAGACTTAAAAGAGAAAAGAAGTCCGCATTGACTAGAAACACCAAGGAAACAGTATCCATGTACTTACTTAGCAACTGCATTTATATACAAATAAACACATCCCCACTCTTTATACATTACCCACGCACCTGGCACATGGTTAATTCCACAGTCTATTACGATTGCACCAGGTTTGATCCATTCACCTTTCACCATTTCAGCTTTACCAGCTGCAACCACCAGGATATCAGCTTTACCAACCTATGAAAAAAAAGCCAAACAACTCTCTATCACACAGGCAGTGGAAAAACACAGAAGTGCTTCAGCAGCAACTTAGATCAGCTTGAAATGCAGAGAAATTGTGTGCTCACCCACTGCCATCAGTGGGATGGAAGGGCATCGTCAGCAGTTAAAGGTCGCTAGCAGTTCCTTGGCAAGGACAAATTCCTGCAGCCGGAAATTATGGCCTATTTTCACTCTCCTACCCTAAACTATTGCTAGTCGACACTTCACAACCTCCTTTGAACTCCTCCATGATTCCCAAGTGGATCATACCAACTACTTTTAGATAAAAATAAAGCCTTCTGCATATTCTTATCTTCCTCCCTTCAAATATCCCTGCATATTCAGCTGCTCTTTTCAATGCTAGAAATATACCCAGCACTCATCAGACAGCAGCCAAGAACAACCCCTGCACAGAACTCTAAGTGGCACTTCGCTTGTGGCAGCACTGTCTTGTGGTTTTCATGTCCAGGACTGTGTAACATGCAACTGTAATTCAGCACTGATATTCGTTCAGACAGTACTCAGTGAATTTGACAGGTCTGGTCACAAAGCTAGTGCTAGAGACTGACTAAAGCTTGTCATCAGTTCTTGCGCTGCTTCATTCAGGTTTGCTTAGGAAGCTGCAATCCCTTGGAATTTTTTCTGTTAATCTTCAAGGGAGATGAACTTAAAAATTAAGTTTTTATTAAGAATTAGCACCTCAATTGTTAATCAACCTAATGACAGTCTTATAGAACAGCAACTTAATGGCATGAAGCACTGCAGTGTTTCTGATCTTCTTTGCCAGTTATATTCAAATACACCTACCCCCTTTTCAGCTTTAATGCTTGCCTACAGAGCCTGGAAGTGTTGATTGCTCTACGAAATCCAAGTAGGTGGCAGCATAGAAACACACTATTTCTGTCACTCTCACGGCCTAAGAGGAAAATGGTACCAACTCCCAGTCATAGAAAATAGACTGGAAAAAAAAAAAAAAAAGCCCTGGAGAAAACACTTGGTCTAGCATTTCCCAGCCATTAAAGCAAAAGACCACCTGGCCTTTTTTGGAAAAAAATTAAAACATATGCTGTCTTGCAGGCCACTACATGGAGATTAGGAAGGGATGATTAAATTCTCAGCACTTGCCCAAAGAAAATAAGAATAATTTTACTGTTATAATTAAAACCCTCTAATTAAGGCCAAACATAAACCATATCCTATTCTAGTGGAAGTATTTACACAACCATGCAATGAACAGGACTGGGAAAATGTTTCAGATGAAAGACATCCCAGACCCAATGACAGAGTAGCAATACACGGAGTAGCAATGTGCAGCAGACAGCACTGGCTTGCAGCAGGTAACTACAGCCTCATGCATCTACCCTGTCCTTACCTCCTCAGCCAGAGTTGAGGTCTTTGAGTGACAAGTGGTTACCGTTGCATGATTCCAGAGCAGCAGGTCGTGCATGGGAGCACCAACAATCTTACTGCGACCAACTACTACAGCTCTTTTCCCTGCAACCTGGATGCCTGCACCACAGAAAGTTAGAAGAAATTAAAAATAGGTCATTGCGCATTCTAGTATGAATTAACTCAAATGGCTCTGGAGTCTTTTGGTTAGTTTAAGTCTGGCACTGGCACTTCAGGATACTGTCCTTCTTTCTGGGTTGTGTGTGATAGGGAACTGGAGTTGAGAGGGAGGAAGGAAGGACCACTTCAAAACTAGTTATTTTCCTTTCTGAAAAGGCAGAGATGAAATGTGGCACCTCAGCAAAAGTTTCAATGCAAAGCATGGCCTTGCAAGGTGCATCATTTCTCCTCTTATTGAAGACTATTGCACTCATGAAAAATGGATGAAAACCTCCTTACCTGTCTGCCTGATAAGTTCCATGCATCCTTTTGGTGTACAGGGAATAAAGCAGTCTCCAAGGTCCCCTCTAGAGAGTTTCCCAGCGTTGATGCTACTTAAACTGCATTTTGAAAGAACAAAGACCAAGTAAGACTCCCAGCCTCATGGTCACTATTAAAAATTAAAAAAAAAAAAAAAAAAAAAAAAAAAAAAAAAGAAGAAGAAGTTTTCTTCTGGAGTAGCTGTCATGCTCTCCAGGGGTGAAGTAAGTTTACCCATCTACATCCTTCTCAGGTGCAACAGCATTGGTTATTTTTTCTGTATTGATGGGTTTATCACTGTCAAGTGGCAGCTGCACTATAAAGCCGTGAACAGCAGGGTCTCCATTCAAAGAGGCAATGCACTTGAGGACCTACAACAAGTAAAGACCAAAAACCTAATGGCCGATAAACTGAAATATGACTGATGCAAAGGAAAAAGTACAGTCCTATCTGAAATGACACACACAGTACATCTAGTTTTTTCCACCCAAGAATATAAATGACTCACATTTCTTATTCTTAGAAAAATACCTGTCAAAGTCTCTAAATTTTACATTGCAATGTTTTAGTTTTCTTTTAAAAATAAAAAAAATCTCAGCAGGTTTCATATCTTTTATCATCAGTTAATATCTATGGGCAAGCAGTCTTTTTTTATAAAATGAGAGGGAAAACAAACTTACCTCGAGCTCAAAACCAAAATTATGTATTTTTCATTATTGGCTGTGTTACTTACGTCAGCTTCTGTTGCTGTGTTCGGCAGTTTTATGTGATTGGCACTGATCCCAATCTGCAAATGAGAACACCAACAAATTATCTGATTTCTGAACAGACATCAGAGATTGATCCAGCTATTCTCTCAGTCCAGCCCAGCCACAGCTGTATTCTGTCACATTTCCCAGGTCTATCTACTGTTCATGTGGCTACAGTCCTATTATTTGGAAATACCATCAATGAAAGAGAAGATTAGTGCTTTGCCTACTTAGATTGGTCCATATTTCAACTGTCCTATTCACCTTTTGACATGAACATCATCATCTGGGCTTGACAGCATGCTGCCTTGAAATGCCAGCAGAGAAGATGCCAGGTACCACCCAGGGAAACAGGGACCCATCTACATTCCCAGCTGTAGCACATCATGTACCACTTGGTGACAGATGCAAGGTAATTGCAGGTACAAGACATTCAGGGAGGGTAAGTGCATGACCACAGTTCAGGAAAGACAGAGCATCAGCACTGCAGACACATATAATCTAGGAGATGATCACACAAAAAGTGGCACCAACCCACGCTGTTGTTACCAGAGTACCTCACTTGGCTGTCAGGTTACATACCTATACTACTTCCTTATAACAAGGAATTCAGACCAACATCAGTTTCTCCAATACGAGAAAAGCTTAGAAAAAACTTGCATCTGTTTTTTCATATTCAGATTTGACCTACTGTAGGAGGATAAAAAGAAATACTAAGAGCTTGGGCATTACCTCAGCAGCAGCCTTCAGCTTCATATTAATGTAGAGGTTCGAGTCATCCCGATTTCCAACCTAAGGTTGAAAAGACAGTTGAGTCACACTGCAGAGTAGAGACCCAGTCAGAAGTTGAGATGGGCTTAACCCTTAGCCTTCTTGGCTTCCTGTGAGCTACACCAAGGAGACAGAGGTACTCTTGAATAACTGTTAAACACACTGATAGAGGATATAAGTAGCTGGAGCTAAAGGCAAGTTGTCTGATCTCCTGCATAAACACTATTTACACCTGTTGGAAAACCTTAGAAACAGTGCTCTCCAAAGCAGAAGATACTGCCTGCCATCTGATCTGAGAAAGTTAAATCTCTAGCTCATTAACATGATCAGCAGGTGCTGATAACATCCAATTATCTGATTAAGGCTTTCAGTAAAGTTGGGTCTCTTTGATACCCAGGATTCTTAATTTTATGCACATACATGCACCTTGATGGAGAGATTTCTTTCACTGCTGATTTGTACTTTGAGAATTTTCCTGCCAAAGAAAAACCATACAAAACAAGAACAAAGGGATGCACAAAGAGAAAGCAGCAAGTGGAACAAATGCCTGTAGTTTCTGACAGTATTAGGTCATCACAGTACAACTGCATTTCAGAAGACTGCTTGCAACATCCAGTATGTTTTGTTAAAGGTAATACTCCTTGTAACCGTAAGAAAATGAGGGACAAATAAGGAAAAGCTGATAAGCAAACTCTTGAAACCTTGTTCCAAGGGAGCTATCCTTGGTTCTCACACAGATTACAAACTGCAGGGGTGAGTGCATTACCTGGTCAACTAGTGTATATTAGTTCTTCTTCTCCAGGGTTAAACAAAGGGGCTGTCTGCCCTTTAAAGTCTGCTGGGTTTAAGAAAAGGTATGCCTCATATAGGGCAGAAAAGAAGGAAGAGAGCAGGCATCAGATGTCAGCAGACAGACCACATATATTGTGCAAAAGAGGACATTCTTGACTACAGGACAAGATTAACTTATTTTTTGAGCTCAGAGGACACCAGATACCTCCCAAGAAAAAAGCACATATTGTGTGGAGTTATTGTAGCTAATTGTCCTGACTTAACTGAAAAACAGACAGCTGAGAATATCAGTACTAAGAGATGAACTCTAAACTCAGACTGTTTGCTGGCTTACAAAAGTGTCAGAGTGCCAAAGAACAAACAGCTTGTAAAGGACTCATACAATCCAGGATTGAAGAGAACACATGCCAACCAAGAAAAAACTCCACCAACACTACAAGACAGCAGTTTATGAAGATAGATTACAAGGTCAGCAGTTCTGCATCTTCCAACAAAGCATCCCTTCTAAACACCTGAAGACAAGTCTTCTGTAAAGATGATCTTTTTAAACCTAATGGAAAAGAAAACCAGAAAAAAACCAACAACCCACAAACAAATTTACTCCCAGCATTGAAGAGGAGCATGGTCTTTGCATACTATAGTGGTCTTAGCACTGGAATCAAGACACAGGCGCCAAGGAGGTTACTGGGAGCCCAAAATACAGAGTAAGAACAGAAGCCACTTCTCTAAGCAGCCGTGTTCAGTCCATTGATCCCTTGTGGCCACCCAGTTCCTTCCTGTCATGACATGCTACTGCTAGTCACCTTCTGACCTAAGCACAAAGTTTCCATTTTTTTATAGCTACAAGGAAAAAAAAAAAATCACCTGAATTCTGCCAAACACATGCCAAATCCCAATGCTTATGAGTGTTTTTTTCCCTTGCAAGTGTTTCTGTGTAGACTTGCTTACACTTCTGACAGACATCCAATGCAGTAATGGGATTTTGTTCCATCCCCTACACTCAAAGTCACCTTGACCAAAGGTGGTTTTGGTTGTTTTTCCCCTGCCCCTTGTCTCTCTATGTTCTGACATAATAGTAGACGAAACCCCTTAATAAACATCCCATTTCGAAGATTTCTGGTACAAGCATACCTCTGAGAGTTGACAGGCTTTGGGGCTCACACAAATACAAAGACTTGGAGTAAAGTCTACGAGCACTGCTTCCTCATAATAGGCAAGAACCCTACTTTCACCATTTCACAAATGTAATGCTCAAACAGAGAACTGCAAGGGTCTAATGAAAGAAAAAAAACAACCCCAACCCCAAAATATTTTCGGGCCTTAGTACTTGGGGAAAAACATTACAGAATTGTTACCATCTCACAGGGAACTGTGCTCTTCTGTTTCTTACAAAGTTACCATTTGCAAGTCAGCTTTGATGAAGCTCTTCAGCTGTGCACTTACCATTGCAAAGCAACACAGATTTTCTGTAGTTGTCATTAAAGAAAACAATACCTGCAAAATTGCGAGTCCTGGTCTGAAGCCTGGAAATTTCTCTTTCATCTCAACAACTTGTTTCTTTAGTCTCTCTCTCACTTGTCTGAAGAGGAAAAAAAAAAAAACAACCAAGGTAGAAGTTAACAAGGGGCTGAATTCTCATACAGTGCTAAGTCAGGAGTTGAAAAGATGACAGATGGGCAGACTGGCAAACACATACGTATACCATGAGTACACAGGTCGTGGCAATCTCCAGAGAAGATTAATGTCCATAAATCACTAAGTCATTTTGGAAAGTTTCATTCAAACTTTTTTTTTTTTTTTTTTCCTAAGTCTACAATTGTGCTTCTTCACGGTGTCATAGGATACAAAGGTTAAAAAAGCACAAAATTGGGAATGAAAATTTCTGGGATTTCAAACTCCATACTCAAAAGCAAATGCTCTTTCCACATATGCTGTACCAGAACTACCTGTCTTTCACAGGCACCAGTCAACACTGTCACACATGTTGTCCTGGTAAAGGATGATGAATCTACAATGGTAAAATTCTGGAAAATAGGTAAACAAACAGGAGGTACCCAAAGCTACACCTCTTCTACAGCAGGTCAGTACCGTGTTTTTCCATTTCCTGCCTGCTTGGCCTAACCCATGCTGGGGAAGCTGCAGTCCTACACTCACCTTCCTGCCTCCAGTCTGCTTTCTGTCCTTTTTGACACATGCAAGAAAATACCCCCTGTCTGAGAGCTTCCAAACAAGACAAAGACTTTTCCACGGGAGCAGGAAAGAGAATGGGAGGTGGACAGACAAGAAGCAGTGAGGAAAATCAGCCTGGTACACAGCTCAGGTCAACTCTTCAGTGAAGACAAGTTTAAGGATACAATTGCTAAAACAAAACTTTGAAAAGGAAACATGAGAGGATTCACTGATTAGTTAATCTAGCTCAGATGTCAACTCACACACCGTTTACTATGCAGTGTTTTAGAGATAACAAGTACCCATCACTGATAAATTAGCCGCAGACAGCTCGAAAGCCACTGTCACCATACTCCCCAGCCTTGAAGTTTTCTAATTTCTCAACTGCTGCCCAGCCCCATGTGCATGATCCTTCACCAGGGAAGGTGGTAGGGAAGAGGTCCTGGTTCCAGACTCAGCCGGCTCTTTTAAATTTGAAATTCTGCCAAAAGCCTGGGTGCAGCCCCAGCACCACTGCTCTATCTCCTCACCTAAGGCAGCCAGGATTCAGAGAGAACTGACCAGCTGTGCCCATCTGATGGGCTCATGGTGCTGGAAGGAGGCTGTGGCACGTCACTGCAAATGTAGGAGATGCTCAGAGGCAAAGGCCAGGTAAGCAAACCTCACAGGACACCAGAAGCTTCACAGGTCTGTTGTCCTCCATGTGATCTCTAGCCCATGTCCCACCCACTGTTCTCAGAGATGAGAAGATGCTACCATCATGCTTAGCAAGTCTGCCCTGCTCCAAACAACCTACCATTTCAAACACAGATGGTCTCCTTGTGCTCATCTACCCTCAAATCAGTATCACAAGGTCTGCTACTTCCGAAGCAGAACCAGACTTTCCAGACTGGAGAAGGTGCTGTTGGTGCCAGTTCATTAAAAATGCGAACAGCAAGGGTATGGGGACAGAGTAAGTAGGTGATGCCAGCTGGGAGGCTGCAATTTCTGCCATATAGGGAAATTCCAGGATGACAGATAGTCAGCGAAGCCAACTCAACCCTGAAACTATGAGCTCCAAATCAGAAATGCCAGTGGCAAGGAGAAAAGGGAAATGGGAGCAACACAGGGCTCTGCTGCAACCCAGCAGCACTGATCCCAGAGGACGGTTGCAGTTGGCCCAGCCAGAAGCAGCCCTCAGGCTGTTCCAAGTCTCACCCTCAGGGAATCACACAGCCTCCGGCTCTGCCCCAAATCATGCATCTCTCCTGCTGCATCCCAAATCACATGGTCAGAGATTCGCTGCACCTGAGGAGTGGGTTCAGAGTATTTATAGGTGTTTGAATCTGGCCAAGCTGTTCAAAGTCTCTTAACAAGCTTCAGTAAAAGAGGTTGTTTTCCATTTTAATTGAGAAATTGTTCCTAGGCTCCCTTTAGCTATCACCTCTGAAGAAGACTTGACACAAAGATTGGCTTGCTATGACACTGTTTTCTGAACTCATCAGCCTTGTCCTAGCAATTCTTCATGGTGAAGTAACAGAAGTTCATCTGCTGGGTGGCAAAAATCACCAACTGCCTCTCCTTACACTCCAGCTGTAAGCCCCGGAGAAGGCACCAAATCTACAGCTGCAGACACAACAGGGCCTGAGCTCACAAACAAACTGTAACAACAATACAACGATCTCAAGGAGCATCAGAAAACCACTGTGCATGGCATCTGAGAAGGTCCTGCAGGCCAGCTCTTTGAGGGAGCTTTCTAAGAACAATCTCCACTGGTCCAGTAAGTAAAGCACAGCACTGATTTGTAGCCTGCAAACAAAAAGAAATGCAAAGAAACATATCAAAACTTATGATGCAGTAAAGCCCTCATAAGGGACAGCCAACTGGAAAGGATCTCAGGTCTAGGTTTTACTTTTAATCCAGTCTTCTCAGTGGAGAAGAAACAAGCCTACCCAGGGGTCTAAGTTTTTCTCTGTCCTCTGTGAGGCAGGTCGGTGGTGTGCTTTCACCTCCAGCAGTCATGTCTGTTCACATATTATATTGCTGTCATTTTCTGTAATTAGGCACTAGCTCACTTCCCCTTCAGCTACAGAAGGTGACACGCACAAACCCACGAAGTGGTGCTGCCAGTGCTAATTTGCTTTAGAAGCCTTGAATCAAGAAATTACTTGTTAGACAGCCACCTAGTGTTAAGTACCACCGCTTCCTACTTACAAGGGTCACAGGTTCAAAGGTTTGTGAGAAAATTAAGGGAAAAAAAAAAAAATCCTTGTTTTATCTCTGAAGACTTACAGATACAAAATAAATTTTGAAGCTAGCAGCTATTTAGTGATACAATTTACAAAATTCTATTATGGACCTCAGGTCTTCTCAAAGGTAAAAGTTCATATCGATAAATTAACAACATTTTTATTAGCTGTATGAAAACATTTTTAAGTCTTCAAACATAATTTTGCAATTGTACATGGCTGTTCCTCCAAAAGCCTCCCCTCTGACGCTGAGACACCCCCCTCCCATGCCTACACACTCTTCCACAAACAAACTCCCACTGCAAACAAGGGTCCAGGGTCCACACAGGTTAAGGACAGCACACAGCTCTAAGCACACAGTGCAAAAGACAGCTCCAAAGATTAAAAAAAACCCTGTTAGCCTTTCTTTCTCTAGACTGCAACAGCGAGCAGAATTTAAATTTATTAAGTGAATTTCCCAGAACAGCAAAGGACAAATCACACTCCTCCAGCTCTGCTGTAAATGGAGAGATGTACAGCTAGTGCCTCCTCAGGCAGACCCCACCATAATCCCACCCGCAGGATTATGTACATGCTATGGCTTTGGTGCCCCTGTGGTGCGAGCATACACATCACCATCCTGGAGATGACCCCAGGCTGTGTTTCTGCCTCTTCTGTGGGTAATAGGGCCCTGGGTCTATGCGAATACTGCCACACATATCACCTGGCAAATACCTCCTTCAGAGACAATGTTGTTCAAGAAGAGGCCTGCCCCCAAATGGGAAGATTTGGCCTCAATGCCTGGATCACAGACTTCCCAGAAGTTTCAGAAACGTGCATCAGAAGTGCTCTTGCTGCAGCCCTTCAGAAACAGCTGTATAAGGCTCATGGTTCTCCCCAGGTCCTGCACTGCCTTGGTCAGGGCTGTTGTCCCTGTAACCATTCCCCCTTAGAACCTGCAGCACTGCCACTGCTCACTTTCTGTTGCTTCCACAAGAATAAAAGAAACGAAACTGGACACTGCAAACCTCCATGGCACCACATCCTAGTTAGCAGGACAACAGCTTTATCTTCAAATACCGTGAAGAGGCTGCAAGCAAGCACTCCACAGAACACCCTACTTGCACCCCAAAGAGGAGACAGAAAGGAATCTCTCCTGGAGTGAAGTCACAGGTTGTCTGTCCCCAGTGGAGTGGCACTGGAATGGGAACTGCCTTAGGAAAGTCTATCTGAATGCTGCTGGTAATTCAACCGATGGCTCCTGCTGAGGGAAGATGCTGTTTTAGAGAACAGAGCTGGAATCTGTTCACAAGTCTCCTGTCATACCACTGCATGATCCTGGCACACTGTCATTATCTCACAGGGGAACTACCTGCTTCTTTCTACCACTTCACACTCCTACAGTTTTTAACCCCTCCTTTGGTTGTGTCAGATCAAATACTTGTCCGAGCACTCTTCAGGCCAGATAAATACATGAAGATGTTTTCTGATTTTTATAAGATTTTTAATCATGTCTAATGAGGGCCAGAAAACAGCTGAGCTGAAGAAGAAATCATCCATAGGGGATGGGATAGGCAGCATTTGAGGAACTCCTCAAATGTGGCTGGCTGCAACAGAGCAATATAGTTTAAGTTTCACATAAAGCTGAATCTTTAAAACCTACAGAGAAGAATCTGCCCTAAACATGAGTCACAACCATGAACCAGCTCCCCATGCTGCAATGTCAATCACAGCAACCAGGAGTGCACCCCAAAACAGCTACCACATACAACACCCAACCATCAGGTGATTTAATCACAGGACAACGTAATAGAAATACATAAAGATTCAGATCACTTTTGTGGGACTGCAGGCACTTCAGACAATACTTTAGGGCATATCTACAATCTACACTCTTCACAGAGAGTGATAACAAGAATTTCTTCATTCCATGAAGAGGACATGGCAGTCTCCCACATGTTCTTTCCCTTGGGCTCCCCCTTTCCATGTCACCTGGTAGTGATGTGCACAGATGACAGCACTGTGGCCCTGCTGTTCACTGGACAACGTTTTCTCCTAGCTTGCAACCTCTTTGGAGCAGGGTCCCATTTTTTTTTTAATTCTATATCTGTAGAGCACCTAACACAAGGGGTTCTTGTTTGTATTCAGGGCTGCTCAGTGGCACTGAGTGGTACCAGACCACAGAGTTCACTTACTAGGTGTGAATTAGCTTTATCTTCTCATGAAGTTTTCCTTATCTATAGAGACAAGGAAGCTCTCTCTCTCTCAAAGTATTTATTCTCTTTACACCTTTCACAAAAATAAGAATGCCATGATCTACCCAATTTTTGTTTAAATAACTGACATGACTGAATCAATTATTTTTTTTCACCTCCCTTTGGGGAAGTGGTACTTAGTGGAGAAAGAAAGTTTACAACACTTACAAGTTTTGATTTAAAACACACAAACTCAGAATTATGTAGCTGTAACACTACTTGATTGATTCACCTCATCTGTTAATATTTGACTGACTTACAAACAAACACTTTTCTTGGTTAAAGGATAAAGTAACAAAAAACACTCCCTAAAAGACAGTAACTGAAAAGACTCTGCAGTTGAGTCAAGTCAGAAACACTCCTTTTCTACAACAGGCAATTCAGTTGAAAATTCCTAGAAAAGCCACATGCCTATTGCTGCTCCTGCCGCCACTCTTGGCCTGGGGGTGGACTTGGACAAGGAGAATCCTCTGGACCAGCACATCTCTAGAGGATCTGGAAGAAAGGGACAGGTATCTGCAGGGCAGATAGTCCATTTCTTCATGCCTCCTTCAAGTACTCCACTAGGAAAAAGCAGAACTACATAAGGCCCATTCCTGTAGAGCACATGCTGGTTTTGCTATAGTGGACAAAAACACAGCAGAAATAAACGAACTGAAGTAGAACAGCTATACAGCTGTAATTATTTTTCCCTTTTGTGTTGTCTTTATGTCAAGATTGGATGCCTTTGGAAGACAGGCTTCAGCCAAACACCTTAGAGATGTGGTGGAAGCTAAGCAATCCTTTCTCCTGTATGTGTCTATTAAAAGCTTATGCCAGGTATTTGCACAACATCACAGAGTTCCTCATCTCTGAAAACAGCTACTGATGTAACACAGAAAACAAACAGAAATAAAGAAGTGCCACCACCTTACCTATAAATTAAAAGTAATAGAATATGCACTGCAAAGGAAGCTAGAAGTTTTAAGCTGAATGCTCAGAATTGCTCCAAAGCATATCCAACGTACTCAAGCTAGCCTCTTTCCAGATTACTACTCACTCTAAAATTGCAATAAACATATAGTTTGAAGGGATATACTACACCTTAGGCACACTTTCTATGCCAGAAAAATGAAAGCTGCAGTAGGCAGATGACTAAGTACCACCAGCATCACAGAGAATGCAGAGCATGTTGCCTTCAAGACTGCCCAAAGCGTAAGGTCTAAAGAAGCCCACAAGACTTGAGAGGCTGCAATACCCAAGTGGTACTGACCCAAAAACTACAGACTAAAAAATATGGAAGCAGCCCTCCTATTGAGAATCAAGACACATTTCAAGACACTACTTTTCAGAAATGCTCCACTGTCAGCTGGATGTAGCTGTCTTGTATGCAGTAATACCTAACACTGGGTCTAACAACTTTTCAGAGATGACTTTAGACTATTTCAAACTTACACTTTCTGTCCAAATTCTCTGGACAACCAGAGAAGAGGTACTGAACTAACCTAGCCAAGCAAGCCCCATTTGCACAGAGTATCACAAATGTTACCTTTTGCTAAACACGAAATGGCCGCCGAAACGCCTCCGGGGCGGCGCTGCCGGGCGCGGCCTTCCCTGGCGCCCTGCTCTGCCGGAGCTTTAAGAAGATCACACACGGGTACGAGAATAATCGCTGAGTTTCATGTCCTGGGGTAGTACTGTGGCATTCCCCAGAGGTTACACAAAGAGTTATTCTTACTCTTGAGGATTTGCCCAAGGTAACGTCACCAAACCACTGGCTAGCCAGTGTAGGAAGAGCACAGTGAAGAAAAGGGCGGCGTTGTGGCCTGAAGTTCATAGGAGTTGCCAAAAGTGAGAGACAGGTTCCTAACGGTCACCTGCAAGGGATGTACTGAAGTAGACAGTGCAGTTAGGAGCGCTGCAGGTGCAGCAGACTGCCAGGCTCAGATCCGTGCAGGCCTCCATGTGTACTGTTCCTTACATAACCAAGGCTTTTCCTTACTCTGCAGGCCGACGCAGACATTTTAGGAGCTTGCGGAGAGAGCCAGCTTTCGGTGGTTTCGCCGCACATTATTAGGGTCCAGCCAACATTGGAGATGGGAAAAGCAGTTAAATATCACTGAGGCAGACTTGCTCAGGCGAGATAATGCCATGACCCAGAGAAGTTAAGGGACTTGTCAGTTTTTCCTGCTAATATCTAGCATGTGGTTAGAGAGCAGGTCCACAATTCAATAAACCAATGATAAAAAGGTCAGGGACGGGGAATTGGCAAATTGGAATTGATGATGGGGTTAGGTTGCTGTTGGGGTGTAGTAGCACGTTCCCGTGCCTGCAGTAAAGCAGTACTCTTACTGTTTTGGGTCCTAGCCATATCTGCCATGTGTGGTGGCAGCACAGCAAAGAAATGGGGTAACGCCACTGCAAATTAACCAGCTGTGGAGAACAGGGGCTAGATGCTACAACATTTGGGACTTAAAAGGCCTGTGTGAAGTGCTTTCACATAGATTTTTGCTTTACATACAATGGAGAGGTTTGGAAAAAGAAGGTGCCTGTTCCAAAG